AATGGTTTACAATACAAGTAAATTATTATTTATATTATTGAATTTACTTTTGTTTTGTTTTCTAAGGTTATGAGAAATCTTCATGTTGTTTTTACAATGAATCCAAGTGCAAATGGTTTACGTGATCGAGCATCAACATCACCAGCTTTATTTAATCGTTGTGTACTTGATTGGCTTGGTGATTGGTCTTTAGATGCATACTATCATGTTGCTAGTGAATTAACACAAAATGTTGATATACAAAAAGCTGATGTAATATTTCATATGAATGATTTTACAAGAATAAAAATCATTTTTATTTCTTTTAGTATGTTGCTCCAAAAACATTAACTCGTTTAGTAGCTGGTTTACCAGTAGAACCATCTTATCGTGATGTAATGAATAATGCCTTTGTTTTTGTTCATCAATCATTACATAAATTAAATGATACATTACGTAAAAAAGGTTCAACAACAAAAACAATTGTCATAACACCAAGTCATTTTCTCGATGCAATTCAACATTTTGTAAAAAGAATTTTAATTTAATCAAATTTTTCTTATGTTATAATTTTATGTTTTTCTGTAAATATTTAGATAAAAATAACAGTAGAAAAACGAACTGAAATTGAAGAAACTCGTCAACATTTAATTGTTGGTCTTGATAAAATTCATGAAACTGTTGTTCAAGTTGAACAATTACAAGCATCACTAGCAGATAAACGAAAAGAATTAAATGATAAAAATGAAGAAGCTAATTTGAAATTAAAACAGATGATTCATGATCAACAAGAAGCTGAAAAAAAACGAATTAGTTCACAAGAATTACAAGTTGTTCTAGCTGTATGTATTAATTTAATATTTTCTTTCCAAACTTTATTGTCTTATTTTTCTCTCTAATAGCAACAACAAGAACAAATAGTTGAAAAACGTAAAACAGTTATGATAGATTTAGATAAAGTTGAGCCAGCTGTTCAAGAAGCTCAACAAGGTTATATTACATATAATTTATTTATTCCTATCTATCTATAAATATATCTATTTTGTAGCTGTTAAATCAATAAAGAAACAAAATTTAGTTGAAATAAAAAATTTAAATAATCCACCACAAGGTGTTAAAATAACACTTGAATCTATATGTTTATTACTTGGTGAAGAAACAACTGATTGGAAATCTATTCGTGGTATAATGATGCGTGATAATTTCATTTCAACAATTGTTAATTTTGAATCTGATAATATTACGTAAGATTTGTCTTATTATATTTAATTAATATGAATTCTTTTTTTCTCTATAGACCAGCTATTGCAAATAAAATGAAAAAAAACTATATAAATAATCCAGATTATTCATATGATAAAGTTAATCGAGCATCAGCTGCATGTGGTCCATTAGTTAAATGGGCAACAGCACAATTAACATATGCTGATATGTTAAGTAAAGTTGAACCATTACGAAATGAATTAAAAAATTTAGAAAACGAAGCCGAAAAAAAAGTTGCTGATATGCAAGCAACAAATGATTTAATTACAACACTTGAAACAAGTATTGCACAATATAAAACTGAATATGCTGATTTAATATCAGCTGCACAAGCAATTAAAACCGATCTATCACATGTTGAATCTAAAGTTGAACGATCGATAGCATTAATTAAAAATTTAAGTTTAGAAAAAGTACGTTGGGAATCAACAAGCGAAAGTTATCAAACACAATTAGCAACATTAATTGGTGATGGATTTTTAATATCAACATTTTTAGCTTATACTGGTTATTTTGATCAAATGACAAGACAAATACTTTTTCAACAATGGCAAAACCATTTAGATAAAGCTAAAATACCATATAAACATGATTTAGCTCGTGTTGAAGTAAAATTTAATTAGAAAAAAGAAACAGTTTTTATTTTTTAATAATTATATTTAGTATGTATCAACTGCTGATGAACGACTTCGATGGGAAATGAATTTATTGCCAAGTGATGACTTATGTCGTGAGAATGCTGTTATGTTAAAAAGTTTCACTCGTTATCCATTAATTATTGATCCAAGTGGACAAGCTTTTGAATTTCTTCATAGAGAATATCGAGAAAAAAATATTGTTCAAACAAGGTACAGTTTTACTTTAATACATTGATCGAAGCCTTGTGAGAACTAATCACTCGGTACTTCCCTTCAAGCATTTATACCTGCCCGAAGTGATCGGCCGCTATTACGGTACGGCGGTTCCAAAAATTACCCGGAACTAGAATCGCGGTTCTGGTTCGGTTTCATTTTTTTTGGAATTGCCGTACCCTACTTCCTTTAAACCTTCCTTTGGGTACGTCACGAGTTTCGCAAGACGTTACAATCATATCCTTGACTTTCAAATTTAATCTATAGATCTCAAAAGCAATTTTTTCTCTTTTATTTATTTAATATAGTTTTATGGATGCAGGCTTTCGTAAACAATTAGAGAGTGCACTTCGTTTTGGTACAACATTATTTGTACATGATGCAGAAAATTTCGATCCATTAATTAATCCTGTACTTATTCGTGATCTTCGACGAACATCTGGACGTGTTCTTATAACTATTGGTGATAAAGATATTGATTTTTCACCAACATTTCGAATGTTTTTATTTACACGTGATTCTGATGTAAGATTAAATATTTTCTGTATATATATTTTTTTTGTATTGTTGATCATTTAGGCCGAATTTGGACCAGATATATGTTCACGTGTAACATTTGTTAATTTTACAGTAACACGATCAAGTTTACAATCTCAATGTTTATATAAAATCTTACGATCTGAACGACCAGATATTGATTCAAAACGATCTGATCTAATGAAATTACAAGGAGAATTTGCAGCTAAATTACGTCATTTAGAAGATAATTTACTCAAAGTATTAAATGAATCCGAAGGAACCATACTTGATAATGACAAGTAAAAAAACAACATTTTTTATTTAATAATATCTTTAATATATATGTTTAATCTATTAGAGTAATTGCTACATTAGAAAAAATAAAAACTGAAGCATCAGAAATAATGCAAAAAGTTGAAGAAACTGATATTGTTTTAAATGAAGTTGAAAAAGTTTCACATGAATATTTACCAATGGCTAAAGCATGTAGTAGTATTTTCTTTACACTTTCATCATTATCAACAGTAAGACATAAATCATAATAGATAATTTTGAAAATTTTTGTTTTAATAGATTCATATGCTTTATCAATATTCATTAAGATTTTTTATGGAAATCTTTGAACATATTCTTTATCATAATAAACGTTTAGAATCAATTACTGATACAACACAACGATTAGATATTATATTAAAAAGTTTATTTGAAACAATATTTATTCGTGTTTCACGTGGTATGTTACATCGAGATCGAATAACATTAGCTGTACAATTAACAAGAATTTATTTAAAAAATATTATTGGGTATATTAATATTTCTTTTTCGTATGTCTTACTTAATAGATAAATATATATATTTAGTGAAAATATGACATTTGAAGATGAGTTTTTTGAAATGGCTCAAGTATTAGAAGAAAATTCTGATATGCTTAATATACAAAATAAGTTATCTGATCCACAAGTAAATGTTCATTTAGATTTTTTCTTATTTAATTCTGATTTATTAATAGAAACGTGCATTATCGCATTTAACTACGAATATTCCATCGTTTAAAAATCTTGAACGACAAATTGCATCGAATTCTGATGCATTTGATAAATGGTTAAATAGTAATGATTTAACAACTCGAGTTCCTGTTGTTTGGGAAAATAATGGCGATAAAAAAAATGAAATCAATACTGCAGTATATTCGTAAGTTTTAATTTTATAGAAAATCTTTCGTATGGTCTATATCCACCTGTCTGATTTGTGAAAAGAAAAATGAATATATTTTCTGGTCAGTAAAATAAATGAAATGGTCAGAAGAGGTAAAAAATCGTCAGTTCAGTCAAATAATTGGGTTTTCAATATTTTTTAAAATCAGTCAATTGAATTAAAGTGTAGTTATACAGAGATCGAAATGCGCTATTGCATCATTCTCACACCCGTCCACATTTAATGCAAAATATTTGTTGCAGAATTAATAATATCTTTAGAATTATAGAATTTATGATACCAAACAGTTAAATCAACAAAAAGTGTAGTTTGCGCTCTAAATTATGCTTGACGAACACCATATAGAGATGCACTGTCGTGCATGTATTTGTCAAAATATTCTTGAGGGTATGGGTGTGGATGTGGGTGGATGAAAAGTAAAAGTAACCACGGTCACAGCCATACGCACACTGTTCGCCTTGTACAGTTGTACATTAGAATACATTGAAATCATGGTTGATTTATTTCTCAGAGTAGAATATTTCAAAATTGATGAAATAACAAAGAAAGTCTATTCATTTGCACGATTTCGTTGTTTAAAAATCAATAATAAATCTTAAGTATTATCTTATATACCGAAAACATAATAAAAAAAGAGCTAAAAATCTTAATTAGATTAGAAAAAGTATTTTATTGATTTAGTTTATCGTAATTTATATTTTTATTGATAGAAATTTAGTGTAGTAAAAGATATTAGCTACTTACGAATCAATACTTGAATTTTCGTTGAACAATGTTTAGCAGATTGTGAAAGTGACTTCTCTCTTTACCATCATTCTCATGACAATACTCACATCTTCAAGTATACTTTTTCTCAAAGCATCAGTAGTAGGCTATTTATTTTCAAAGCGAGGATTTTATTGATTAAGCAAAGCGAATGATCTAATTTTGAACAGATTAGAAAAAATAATTAAGCATATGAAACTTTTCTATATTGTTTTACATATCCAAAACTAATGTTTTGAACTTTGAGCAATTGTAATACATATAGTTCAATGCATCCAGAAAAGTTCCATAACTAGAAATGTTATTATTAAATGATGAATTATTGTCCAATATATG